AACGCAAACCTGAATTTCTGGTAGCAAGTTAATGAGTAACCATCTGCCTGCATCTGGTCAAATTCTGCAGGGGAGCAAGAATTCTCCTTATCTCAGTAATAACTGCTTCTTTATTTATTATTATTTAATTTTAAGCAGCAATGATAAAAGCAGGTGCCTGACAGGTATTGAAAAAGCCATGAAAAGTTTTGCTAAGGTTTGCATTTCTGGGATAAAATTTGTGAGAGGTGCTGTCTGACAAAAAGTCTTCTGTTTTAATGCAGAACCACCAAAGAACACAACTGCAAACCTATAGCCACGTTCCTCTTCAGAGATGGTATTTCACCACTGTCAGGTGGATTTGAAATACCTCCTCTTCTTTTCCCACACAACCACAGACCATCCCCTAAGCTCCTGTAAGAAAAATAGCACCACCTCTCCTAATACTTTCAAGTGACAGGCAAATTGGAAATCCATGATGCTTTTATTTTAGAATATTGCGAGGCTTGAAGCCTGGAAGTAGCAGCCCGTTTTTCTCCTGACTTTTACTCTGCTGGATGATTTACACCTATGCAAAGGAGTTTGCTGACAGATCAGAATTAGAGCTCTTATTTTGCCCTGTTGTAAACTATTCCTCAACATGCACAGTTAGGTCTCTAAGCAGAAAGGGTGGGGGGGAAGGCTGTGAGAGTCATTTTGGAGCCTGAACAAGTAGATTTAACCTTTCTTGCTTTGGTGACTGTAACAACATAGTAAATGGACTTTAGGGCTTGATGAAACTTAGTAAAACAACTTAGGCCAGGTTGGATGGGGCCCTGAGGAACCTGATCTAGTGGGTGGCATCCCTGCCCATGGCACGGGGTTGGAACTGGGTGGTCTTTGAGGTTGTTTTCAACCCAAACCATTCTGTGATTCTATAAAATAGACCTTCCTTCCAGCTCATCTTTCTGCTTTGTTTACATCTGCAATAAATACTTAGGGTTGAGAAATGCCCACTGAGTTCATCATGCAGAAGCAGAGCCTGGTAGTCCTCAAGAATGAGGTTTGGGGCTGTCTGTGGGCAGTAAAGGACAGTAATCTAATGCAGCAAAAGTTTCCAGCCTTTAAATAAGTGTTTGTTAATATAACTGTTGAACACATCAACCTGGATCATCCATTTCTGGAAATATCCTTAGCTCTGAGATGAGACCTCACAGCTGTCTACAGCTTCCTCACGAGGGGAAGACGAGGGGCAGGCACTGATCTCTTCTCTCTGGTGACCAATGACAGGACTCAAGGGAATGGCATGAAGATGTTTCAAGGTGGTTTAGGTTGGATATTAGGAAGAGATTCTTCACCGAGAGGATGGTTGGACACTGGAACAGGCCTCTCTGGGCAGTGGGCACAGCCCCAAGCCTGACAGAGCTCAAGAAACATTTGGACAACGCTCCCAAGCACATGGTGTGATTCTTGGAGTTGTCCTGTGCAGGGACAGGAGCTGGACTTGGATGATCCTTGTGGGTCCTTTCCAACTCAGGATATTCTATGATTCTCTGATTCTGCTCTAGGACCATCCTGGCTGTGTAGGAGACATCCAGAAATGGTGGGTTACTACTGAAGTGTGGACTTCTCTGCATCATCTTTGGAGATGCCCCTCTCCACAGACCACAAAGGACCTCCATTGTATTTGCTCTAAATTTAAGCACCTTGATTAGGTGGAGAGAGTGGAGTAGGACCCTCAGGGACTAAGTACCCATTGCTACTCCATGGCTGTCCCTGTGGCCAATGCATGGAGTTATATTTACATGTATTTATAGTTTGCTGGGGCCTATCAGTTCCCACCGACATCAGTTCCCACAGGCACAAGTCCTTCCTAAAATCCATCTGATGGACAGGAAAGAAATGTCTTGTGGTGTGAACAATTTCCTTATGCATGTGTGATGCACCTTTATGTACTTATGTCTGCAACAACAATGGAATAAATGTAAATGCAGCTATTCAAACTACATCTGCTTAAGCCACAGATCTTGCAGCTCAGTGCTCTGCTCCACATACTATAATTTTTACCTTTTTTGGATAACAAAACTGCAGTGAACATTACAGAAGCTGTTAAAGACACAAGTTGAATCATGCTGAGATACCTGGCTTAACTCCAGTCAAACCTACTTGACCACCTACCCCATTTGCTATGCAAAAAAACTACCCCATTGCTATGCCCTGTACCAGAGGGGATGTTGGATTTAATGATGTTTAAACCAGTACTGTAAAGGAACCTTTGATTGTACCCAAAAAACTTATTATTGCTCTCCCATTCGGGATCAGATGAAAGTAAAATAAGCTGTATCTTGTATTATGAGTGGAAATGCCATTTCCTGCTGGAACTAGAAAACAAAGCTCTTTGGGATTATTGTAAGGATCAGCAGGCACAGTGAGGCAGGGAGAAGTCTTTCCCTTGTTGGTCTTTGCTGTTGCATTTGGGGTCTGATTATCTTTTGCTGACTTGGCCATTCATCAAGTGTCTCAAAGAAGCAGCACAAACAGTAGTTGAGCTCCTTCCCTCTGTCCCTGGAGGGAAGGGAAGCAGCCATCGCTGCCTCTGCCTCTTTGCAGTGCTCCCCTTCAAACTGGATAAATAAATTAGAGATATGGTCATTCAGGGAACCAGCTGGGAGCAGCTGGGGATTATGGATTCAGTGATTATGGATTCAGTGATTATGGATTCAGTGATTATGGATTCAGTGGACTGTGCTCCTCTGGTACAGAAAACAGCCACCACAGGCACCTCTTGGGCAGCATTGTGGCTTCTCCTGTATTATTTAGTGCATTGTCTCTTCAATCTCTGTGCATGCAGAAATGCTCAGCAAGAGTTGTTTCTCCTCCTAAGAGACGCCCTTTCAGTTTTTACTCTTAGAGTGCTTGTTTTTAGGCAGGTGAATCTTTTACAACATTTATATTTTAGGTACTTGGTGACTCCACAGACTGAGTATTAACTTCCTGTTGTGTGGAGAACTCTTTTGAGAGGCAAATTTTATTCATCAAAGACAACCCTTTAATTAACTTTCACACTTCCATAGGGAGAGGAATATAAAGACAGATAATAATACTAATAATACTAATAATAACAACAATAACAACATATCTTGTTACCATTACAAATGAAAATAAAATGCTGCAGGGAGTGGAGTTTCAAGGTTTGTTTTGGTTTTGGTTTTTTTTTGTTTTTTTTAATGAAGATTTTAATAGCATTTAATGTAAATTGAATATAATCATTGTCTCATTCCTGAGCTTATCTCTGAGGCTGAAGATTAAGAAGTTAATTGTGCTGACAACATAGTGGGAAGTGCCAAAATCAAGCACCAGCTTGTTGGTTAAAGCGCCTTTTGAATTAAGAGAGGAAAGCAGAACCTTTATTTTTTTGTACCCCTGCTCCCAGTTATTTTGCAGCTGAGTAAACTTTGTGCACAGTGTGGATTTATTACATGAGAGCTAACATAAAATTTCCATTAGAGTGCAAATTAATAAGAGTTTATTTAACTTTAGAGATTGGGAAGGATCAGATGCATGAGCCTAACAAGACATTTTACTTTGGGGATGGGGAATTACTGGTGTATAAGTCCCTCAGTTCTTTTTGGGAAGATAATTTAACGAGGTCATCAAAATGACTGGATGTCAGCTCCAGAATCTTGCCTTCCATTAAGAGGAATTAGGTATGGAAATCTCACTTTTGAATCATCTGCTGGTTATGGAATTCATGCACTTGGTGGCAAGATTTACTTGATGAAAATATTGGGGATCAGGCTGTGCACTCCTTAATGTAAGCAATGTGACAGGATTCAGTTCTCAGCTCCCTCTCCTGCAGTGACAGTGTGGAATACCTGTCTGTGCTATATATGACCTCTTCCATCTCAAATTAAAAGTGATGTAGTTGCTCATCTGGTGCAGTGAGTCCTGGGATCATAAATAAATGAAATGCATTTTGACGAATGATTACAGAAATGGTATCTTAATTTGACTAAGCAGAGATAATAACTAGTCATTGGGTCCAGTTGTGTCTTCATATGGGATTATTTCTCTTTCCTGTATGGTCTCAAAGGAGTCCAGTTTTATTTACTGTGAGGGTGGTGATGCCTCAGAACAGGTTGCCCAGAGAAGCTGTGGATGCTCCATCCCTGGAAGTGTTTAAGGCCAGGTTGGATGGGGCTCTGAGCAACCTGGGATAGTGGGAGGTGTCCCTGCCCATGGTGGGGGATAGGAACAAGATGATCTTTAAGGTCCCTTCCAGCCCAGGCCATCCTATGATCCTAATATCCCAGACAGCTTTCCCAACTGAGCTGTTTGCAGAAAAACACTGAAGTGGGAAAAAAACAGCCAAACTTTGTACTGAGACTTTAAGAGAGGTCTCAATGTAATTTTAGTCAGGATTGTGTTTGGTAAAGACTTCAGGGACTGGCCTTGCTCCTCAAAGGAGGTGCCGAAAGAGTTGACATAAGTGATGAAAGAGCTGGTATCCATCAGTACTGGCAGAGAAGCAGGAGGGAGCTGAAGAGTCAGGACAGGCCATGGGTCTTGAGGACAGAGGGGCCACAGATAGTCATCTTGACATTTTTTTAAATTAAAGAACTTCCATTCACTCCAAATCTCACCAAACCTGAAAAAAAACAAACGAAACCAAACCAAACCACTGACAAATGAGTCTTTTCAATACAACTGTGGCTCCTATATGTCCTCTAGAGGAGAAAAAACCCACCATTTTCTCTGGGTCTTTTTCAAGTATTTCTTGAGTTTTTGAAAGAAACCTCATGGAAAACCACCCCTTTGTAACTAAAAAGATGTGAAGTGCTTCTAGGGAAGCTCAGAGGCTGAAAGTGCCCTGTTGATCTTAACAAAGCTTGAGAACTACTGGACTGAGCAAATAAGTACCTTTGGGAAGAATTTATGCCCCTTGCCCCTATTTTTTTTTGGTCCCAAAGAACAAGGCCAGCAGTGAGTGCTTACAAGAAATAATGGTGCCAGAATTGAGGGTATAAAGGAGAGGGACAACCATGAAAGGGGACTGGTTTGGCTCCCTGCCTGCCTGTTATAGTGCTGTAAAGCAGTCAGGTAAAGTGCTTTCCTGGAATACTCTGCCATTATCATATAGATGATTGCTGTAAGTAAATTTGTCCTGCTCAAACTCAAAAATCTCTTCTGAGTACAATATTTTCCTGGGCCAGCCATCAGGTAACTCCCCTGTCCCGTCTCTTTTTGCTATAAAACCCTTCTTTTGGCAATTTTAGTTGCAATACCAACCATCTGTGATGGCCTCCTTACCTGTCCACCCCCTATTTTCACTTTATCACCCCCACCGACCCTGCAGGTCCACAGCCACTGCCTCTCTGCTGACCACAGGAAGAATATTTTGGGCAGCTCCTTTCCAGTATTTCCTTCTGTCTTCCACTGTCAAGACCCAGGACTCTTGCAGCCCTCCTGTGCCTCCATGTGCTGTGTGTTGTGTTGTCTCAATTGCTCTGCAGGTTGATAAATGTCTCTAAGTGTCTCATTATGCAATTAATTTCAATTGCAATTCCCATCATCTCTTCCCTTCTGCAGGCATGCGACCCAGCAGGAGACTAATAAAACCATCACCACCAGCACCAAAGCCATCAAGCAGCTGTCTGAGATTGTCAGAGGCTCATCCAGGGTATGTGCCAATCCAGGTGATGTTGGGGGAGGGTGATGGGTCTTATGGAAGGAAGAATAATAAAAAAAAGAAGTGGTAGTGGGTGTTTTAAGGCTGTTGAGCTCCATGGCTTGTTATAACTTCCTTTCCTGTGACATGGTAAATGTAGTTTTCACTTATAAATGACCCAGAGGAAAACAGCTGCAGAAACCGGTTCTTCTCCCAAAACCACATCGTGTGGAATTGGAAATTGAGAACTCAGCAAAAAGCCTTGGCCAGTTCACATTTATCTCAGAGTCTCACTCAGTTTGGGTGAAAATACACAGAAATCATCTGGCTCCACATAAATTTGGCACTGGCTAAAGACTCAGTCGTGCAGTGGGTGCACTGGGGACTGGTGAGTTTGGAATTGTGTTGAAGTGTCTGGAAAAACCAAAGCCATGGAATACATTGTGGATATGACATTCACTCAGGGCTGTGTGCTGGTAAAAAGGCAGCTTTGGGGATAGATAAATACAGAGTGTGGCCAGATCAGAACAGGACTTTGAGTTGCAATTTACCCTACAGAATCCCTGTTATATGGACAAACTGGGATGTCCTCAGTAGGTTCAACTCCTATGAACAGCATTGTCACAGGGTGCGAATGATCCCCATCCCTTGGTCTCCAGTGTGAAGATTGGACAAACAGGTTTCTGGCCTTCCTACAAAACCCGTTACACTCCAGATATTCCTGCTGAATTTGACCTGTGATTTGAATCGTGGGGAAGAACAGAAACATACTGTGGGACCAAACTCCAACTGATGTGAGGGTAGAGGAGTTTGACCCACATAAAAGATGATTCGGCAACTGAAATGACAATAAGGACAATTCTACGTGATTCTGCCTGGTAGTTTTCTGTTGTCTTCTTGCTTCCAGCACCCATATGGTTTCTAAGTCAGGAACTTGTCTGAATTGATGTTTTGTCCTCACTCACTTCCTGCCATTTTCCAAAGTCCCGTGTTACTCCAGCTCTGTACTCACTGCCCTTCCACCGAGCAATAACAGTGCTCTAAACACACCACTCGTCTCTGTCCCGAGTGGGTTTTACAGCCTGGATTTATGGCACTTGCCAACGGGCAGATGAGATAAGGATTTAAAGGTTGAATCACCCCAGGCTACCTTTGTAACATGTTGAAGACCCTGTGCAATCCAGCCCGCCTGAAACAAAAAATGAATGGGTGATGGTCCACTCGAGAGGATGAGGAGGGAAGCCTGGAATGACTGTTTCCATATGTTGACATCAGACTTGTGCAGGCATCAGCCTTAATACCAGGAGAGTTTTTAACACATTACTTTGATTAATGATGGACTACAAGGACTATTTTTTTCCTTTTCTTGCATAATTCCATCTGAGCTTGATGAAACAGGAGATGCTGTCTCAGAAATGTGGGCATCTGTGCTTTTTTTATGCTCTTTTTGTGCTGATCTCCTGGCTCCATTTTGTGACATAAATTGAGTCAAAAGGGGAATCAGGCAAGGTCACATTAAACCCAATTATAGTGCCACACAAGAATGTCATTATTTGCCCTTGAAACCCATGCAGTGTCCACTGGGGACTCTCAGGAGAATAGTTTTTACTGTCACGGGGAGAAAAATTACTAAATTAAAGGGAAAATATTTAAGAGCTGAAGGAAATAGATACACAAACAGTTTTAGTAATATAAGAAATAAACTTACTGCTCTCTATTGCGTTGCATAATAATTTTTTTGCTCCCTGGTCAATTAATTTAACAGATTTTATTTTTTTTTAGCTCTTCTTTTCTAACACTGTGCAGTTTAAGTAATTAAACCTACAAATTTTGATATAAAGCCTGTAGCCCTCGTCCCTTACGTAGAATAAATAGTTCTGGTGGGTATTGGCTGCTGGTCAGTAAGTCCCTCTTGGGAATATGGGTAGGACTGCAAACTTTCCTCCCATAAAATTACTCACAGCAGGAAAAGCCTTCCATTAATTTAGAGCTTTCTTAGTCCTTACCAATCCATCTTTCTGTGGATTGCTTTGCATGCACACGCAGACAAAAAAATGTATTTTTTCCCTTTCTTCCTTATTTTCCACCAGCTCTGTGCTGCCAACAACGTGCACTGTGGGAGTTTCTCTGACTTCCAATGAAGCTCCAAGTGCTGCTTCCAATGAAGCTCCAAGTGCTGCTGGAGCTATTGGAGTCAGGATGCCCAACTGAGCAAATTGAGAGTATTTCAGGAGCAAAGATGCTGCTTTAAGTGGATCAGTGGGATACAAGGCAGGAGATTGATGTAAAATAGCACATGGCTATTTTAGGGCTTTGTTCCAAAATAACCTCCAAGGATGTAAATAGACAGGCCTGTCAGGAATTCCATTTTTTTTGGTAGGATGGATGCTGGAGCATGAGATCAGCTCTCCAGGGTGGCAGTTTTATCTTATTTTCCATGTGTAACAAACATAAGGTTTATGGATCTTTATCTATAGAATGGCACTAATGATACTTGCCCTGCTCTAAAAATGGTTTTAAATCTTTAGATGAAGAACTGTAAGACTGGGATATTCTTCTGTGTGCGGAAATGCTGCCATTAAAAATCAAAGATGTTTATCCCGTCCTTTATAAAATGTACTTTTGTATTCCTAGGCAGTTTTCTGGAACAGCTGAAATGGCTGTAAACTGAACAATTCTGAATTCTGAAATGGCTGTAAACTGAACATTTCTGCTCAGTAACTTTAGCGTAGGTTGGGCTTTGTTTGCTACTTGTATTTTAAGGTGACTTCCCACTTCCTTGCAGTTCATTCCCCTCTGTAAAACCTGGATACATGAACTACACATGTAAAATCTGAGATCCAGGGGGTAGAATAGTTCCAGGAGAATTTCCATCGCCTGACACTGTTTGGGTTTGGTCACTTCATGTGAGAGCAGAGATTTTAACTCATGTTGGATAGTTACATCAGGCTGACTGGGGTCTTCCTTCCAAGAACACTTTTGTTTAAAATACAGATTAGAATCTTGCTGGAGCAAGCTCCAAACAGAAAGGTAGTGACATCTGGGCTCCTTGGAAAACATGAAGACAAATTGGTTTCTGACAATCAGGTGCTAGGCCAGGCAGAAGGAATGTTGTGGCTGATGGACCTCTCAATTCCAGTAAGTCTCCCACTGCCATCAAATGTGGTGATGATCATCCAAATAAAGGATTTTTATGGGAAGATTCCTTGGGTTATTTTCTCCAGTGCTATACTGAATATGAAAGTGGCATTATTTTTAAGTGCTTTGGCCTGAAAGACCAAAGAATCACATGCTCACTTCCTAGAAATAAAGTCTTGTCACATCCTGGCAGCCCCAGTGAAATGTTTTAGGATACTATCTGTGCCCACCTTGTTTATTTGATGTGTCCCCCCAGGACAATTTTCCAGGGTTTCAGAGACACTCTACTACTTTATTTATCTCCACAGACCTGCTAACCAGCCTTCTCTTCTCCCAAAACAGCAAGAGAGGCTCCAGCTGGACAGACTGAAGAACCAGCTGTCGGATGCCATCCAGAGATACGGAGCTGTGCAGAAGGTGAGGGTCACTCTTGTTTCCATTCTTCCATCTGTGAGTTTGGGAATGTGTGAAGTGTGAGTGTGACTCCTGGGAGCCTGGAGCATCTCCACAGGGCTGGTTACATGTGGTTTCCACCCTCTCTTCTTACTTTGTCAGTCAAGAAATCATAGAAAAGACTTTTAAGGTCATCAACCACCAACCCAGCACCACCTAAACCATGTCTTTAAGGGCCATATCCTCACATTTATTGAATATTTCCAGGGATAGTGTCTCAACCACTTCCCTGGGCAGCCTGTTCCAAAGCTTTACAACCTTTTCACTTACAAAATGCTTCCTAATATCCAATCTAAACCTCCCATGGCACAACTTGAGAGCATTTCCTCTCATCTTGTTATTTGGGGAAAGAGACCAATTCCCACCTCACTACAAGCTCCTTTCAGGGAGTTGTAGAGAGCAATAAGGTCCCCCCTGAGGGTCCTTTTCTCCAAGCAAAACACCCCCCTCTCCCTCAGTTGCTCCTCACCAAACTTGTGCTCCAGACCCTTCCCCAGCTCCGTTGCCCTTCTCTGGACACGCTCCAGCCCCTCAGTGTCCTTCTTGTCATGAGGGTCCCAAACCTGAACCCAGAATTGAAGGTGCCTCACCAGTGCCAAGTGCAGGGGGATGTATCATTGCTTTGGAGCATTCACACACATGGGACTGCAGAACAACTCAGCAGCAGCTGAAAAGAAGAAAAAGTGTATTTTTGCCAACTGTGTGTCTGGTAGGACTTTCAGTGCTTCATCTGGCTTAGCCTTGATGTTATTTTGGTGTGAATTGATTGCACAATGCCCTTTTCACCTTTTCTGCTCCTAGAAAATGTGCAGGAAGCTTTGATAATTTAAATATCCCCCCCCTCTGGCTCTGCTGTGCTGTATGGCTTTGCCAGAAAGTTTCTGAGCACGTCTTGTGGTTTGGATCTGTCACCAAGATCAAGCTGTTTAATAAAACAAACAGAGCCTGAACTCCAGCTCCTTCATTTGCTTCTTGCTCACCCTGTTTACCCTGGGGAGGCTCCACTGATGAGCAGATTTGCTTTGCTTTTAAACACTGTAGTAATGACTTAAATTTAGCATCCTCAAACTGCTCCTCTCCCCGGCAGCAGCAAGTTTGCAGATATATCTGGATTAATCAAAAAACACAACCTGGACAAACTCTGGTTCCTTTCTTATTTCACTTTAGTGAGTTTGATCCGTGGCTGCAGCACATGGGAAGGATATATTGCATTTGTACAGGTGTAATGAAATGTGGCTGGCAACATGCACTTAATAATGTATCAATATGCACTTAATAATGGATCTTTATTTAAAAACCTCTGTTCTGATGGATTTGCCAACACTTGCTGCCTATGCCTTAAAAATAAACAAATAAACAAAAAGATGTACATAAAATTGCACTTGTGTTGCATAATAACAATGCATTATCTCTAGTGTTGTGTCACATTTTAAATTATTTCTCTGTCCTATTCAAGAAACTAAGTGTGGGGTCTTTAAATGAAATTATTTTTTCTGTTAAATGAGAAGTTGGAATGATTTGGGTAAAGAGCTCCACCCCCATATACACACACACTTTTTAATGCCTTTTTTTCCCAATGCTCATGAGTGCAATCCATCAGAACTGCACATACAGGTTTGATTTCTATTATTTTAAAACCTGTCATCGATTCAGAGGTGCCAAAATTAACCAGTGCAGTTTGTGAATGCCCTGTTGCGTCAGGAAACCAATCTGAGTGGGAAATTGCTACTTATCCACGTCCTGGCTGTCATTCCTTAAATGCCTGATTCAGTTTTGATAACCTTGTCATCCTGGAAGCTTTGAAGGCTTTTAATGCCTGTAAGACCAAGCTTTTCAATGCTATTATACCTCCTTTCTTTTTCTAAATAGTAGGAGCTTTCTTTATGTCCTTTTCTTTAAAAAGCAGAAGAAATAGCTTTATATGACTCCTTTCCTAAATATTTGGACTGTTTTCTCAGCCATTTTCCCTCCTTTTTTTTTTATTTATTTTTCCTTTTCTTTTTAACAGAAAATAGCAGAAAAATCCAAAGCTTTGCTTCCCACTGGGCAGAGAAGCACCAAACAGGTAAGTTCATGTGTCTTTGTGTTTGACAGTAAGTACAGTGCTAAAAAAGGGCTATTTTCTGCCACCACTAATGATGCTGAAGAGCTTGGTGCTCCTCCACTGCCTACACTGAAGCCAGCGAGGTGTTTTTCCAACAGGCATGTGTGACGTCTTTGGAGGTGGAGGATACAGGACTCGGGAAAAAAAGACTTATATAAGACCTGTTTAATTATTCCCTGCTTTTCTGTTCTCGTGGGGCTGTTTTTCCATTCTTGATGGGAGTTTTTTCTACTCTGAAATTTATCAAAAAGCAGTCCTGTATCCTCTTTCACTTGGAAATCACATTCCAAGGACAATTTCATAGCAGAGAATGAGAGGAATTTTTATCAAACCTGTCCCCAGTTTTAAGAAAGATCACGTATTCTACTTTCTTGTCTACTTTACAGTGTGGTTAACTGTTATATACATATGCAAATAGAGCCTTTTTATTCTCTTTTTACCCATATTAGGAACTTTTTCAGTGAATAAATACTGTATGGAATCAGAATATCTACATATATGTTCTGATTTTTATATCCATATCCATACATACTGTGGTTACTGCATATATGGTGTATATGTTTATTTTCATACATGCAAGTGTATGTATGTATAAAATATAATTAAATACATTGAGTACCTGTGAACATATGCAAATTTTAAGAATATAAAGATATAAATATAGATGTACAGATATAAATATATGAAGATATGTATGTTTAAATATATATGTAAATATATGCATATGTGTGTTCCCTTTCACAAACAGTAATGCAAAATATTATATATATAAAAGGGATGTGTGTGTGTGTAAGAAATCACCACAGATTTCCAAGAGAGGTTTGAAGAATCCAACAGGCATTAGGTTGGTCTCTCAAATCCTACGTGTTAAAAATTTGTAGGTATTTGTAACTGATCTCATGCCAGTAAAAAGCAGAATTCTCTGCCTAATTTCAGTGATTATTTCTGATATTCTTGATACTCTTTTAAAGCACAATCAGCAGATTTTCTACTTTCCTGATGGATTTTCATTCTTTACCTTGCCGTGCCACCTGGTTTTCTATAATCAATGTATATAAGAAATAGTTGTACTTTGTAACATTGATGCGTCTCTGTAAAGAAGGGTGGAATGATGCCACCAAAGATCCCGACATTAAGGTAAGTCAATGGACTAAAACTTTAATATTAACTACATTTCAAGCAATTACAATTCTGCCTTGGACCAAAACTTTATTATTAATGACATTTCAAGCAATTACATTTCTGCCTTGGAGCTTATTGTTGTGTAGTTGGTTTTAGGTGTCAATGAAATGAAACTCAGGCCCCAAAGGACTGATGAATTCCTTTATCCTGGTTGGGAGTTCCCACCACCCCCTTTGGAGTGATTGTGCACAGATGTCACTATTCAGCTGCGAGTTTATAAAAATTATCCAGCTTATTTTTGCCCATCAGCTGCTGATCTGTGATGACCATGGTCACAAACATCATGTCCTTTAACTGTGGTCCAATCCACCGTACAGGAAATATTTATTGGGTTTTATGGTTGAGCTCAGAGATAAGGAGGGTCATTTTGTGCAAATTAGGTGTGATTTGTATTCATGCTTTATTGCATCGTTTCTTGGGCTTTTAACTAACTTTGTTAGACTGTTATTGGTGGAGTGGATTGCAGAGGAGGGAACAGCTCTGATCTTGCCTGGACTACCATGTGGTTTCATGGCCATGGCTATTCCATAGGATTTGGGACACTGCTGGCTATTAACAAGTGTAAATAGGATGAAGAGTGCTAATTAGTGCACCTGGAGCAAGCCTGGATGAAATCAACTTTTTTGGTGTATTGACGATGGTTGATGACTCCAAAAATAACCTTCTCTGGAAGCAAATGGAGTTTTAATAGAGGGAAAAAATAGGATGTAAGACAAAAATGCTCAAATCTTGAGGCAAGTGATGGTGTGGTTGGAAGAAAAGGGAGGCTGGAGGAAGAAGAGGACAGACAAACCCCTCTGCATTAAAACAGGTAAGAATACAACCACTAGGGGACTGTAGCAGTGCCAATCTGCTGTGGGACAGGAGCATCAGCAGAGATTGGGTTGGATCAACTGCAGGTTGTTTCTTCTTGTGGCTGTTACTTGCTGGGGGTTTCGGTGGATTGTGGAAAAGGAGGTTGTATTTTGCCCTTGGTGAGATGGTTCTGACTCAGAAGCAGGCTGGATCACACTTTCCATGCAGTGCACAAACTTTCCATGCAGTGACACTTGCTCGGGCTGGGGACGAAGGAGTCTTCATGCAAACTGCTTGAAAAGGATGAAAATTCAGTCACATCTGCTTCAACTTCCCTATACTTTTGTAGCTTCACATCTTCTCTTTTTCCTCCTTCAAGCACAAAAAGGGGAGAAATTAAAGTACAAAACCTGCTGAAGGCAACACAGTGGTTGGTTTTTACTTATTATTTTCCCAGCTGCAGTTTGGTCAGGACATACAGAATTATAGTTCCCACAGGAACTGGAGCCTGACCACTGTGTGCATGTATTAGGGCAGTAATGCAAAATTCTACATATGTTCAGGAGACCTGATTTATGAGTCCTGTGAAACCACAGAGTGACTCGGTGCAGACCCAGTCTTGATTCAAACACTGTTTGCCTGCAGGGCTTTGTTCTATTTTATTTATGCTTTAATTTATTACAGCAAGTTGTAAGAGGCCTGAAGAATGCTTGTTTTTCTAGATGCATGTCCCTGTAGTTCCCCTCTTCCATTGGTGAGTAGGAAAGATAAGATGTTTGGTAACATAAACCCTAATAATTTCCGTTTAGGGAGCAATTGATTCCCTAGACCCACATAACAGGTAAAAATTGCCAAGTGAAGCTTTGGGAGAATTAGTTTCCTGCCCATTGTGGTTTGCTGTAAGTACTCTTTAATTGAGTTTATTTGTTTATAAAAGCAAAATAAAAGCATTGATCCAAAATTCCTTGAAGCCTGAAGTTATATAAATTCTTAATCAAATATGTGTTTGTAGGAATGTGCTTGTTTATAGACAAATCAATGTAGTTCTGTGGGTGCATATATTGAAAGACACAATTTTTTACTACACTAAATGATCATTGTTGAACGTGCCTTGTGGCAACTATTAAAAGTAAAAAAAGTCCCTTCCCTTGAATCTGTGAAAGTAATTTTAAATATTCACCCACTGGCCAAAATGAGACCTCAGAAGGCTCATTAAGAGAGTGCCCAGGGGAATCCTGGAAAGGAGTTTTCAATTTAGGGGAATTGTTGGTGCAGTAAACAGAGACAGTGTTTGGTGATATGGTCACCTCTGCTTTCTGACTGTGTGTGGAGCAGATAGGCTTCAAATCCCACTTCTCCTGAACACACCATGGTGAAAACCAATTGTTCCTCCTTCCAGGCAGGGCCCGCTGTAGGAGAGGGAATATTTCAGGTGTCCCCTGGAGCCTGGGATGGTGTGGTCAGGGCTAGGAGAGGCTGGACAGCTGAGCAGACATAGGTGAAATCCATCCCACAGTGCAACAATTGGATAGAATATAATATGATAATGCTTTAATAGCACAGAATAGATTATCTGTAATATTAAAATAATAAATGATAGCCTGAGGAACACCCACAACAGCCAATAATGTCTCTGAGCACAGGAGATGAAAAGAATCCTTCTTTTTAATTCTTATTTTAATTCTTTATAATTATTGTGCATCCAACATCATCTGCTTCCGATAGAAAGAACCTGTTACGTGCCCATGGTTGAATAAATTCTACTTCCAGATATTAAACCCAGGAGCAGATGAGGCTGAGAAGCTGAAGGCTCCCCAGGATTCATCTCTGGTAGTTCCTGGCAGGGATGGCTGAGTTTCTTCATCCTTCAAGGCATCTGTGACATGTCTTTGGGCCACCTCCATCCTTCCTGGATCCTCACTGACCACACTGAGCTATCTTAGTCATCCGAGCAACCTGGTCTACTGGAAGGTGTCCCTGCCCATGGCAAGGGGTTGGAAATGATCTTTCAGGTCCCTTCCAATCCAAACCATTCTGCGATTCCATGAAATTCTGTCTTCTCAGCTAATGAGGAGCAAAGTGGTCTTTCTCACCGTGTAGACTTTGTGGGTGGTTCCACCAAGGGAGTGGGAGAAGGGGAAGCACAGGCTCTGTTTGAGCTGGGGAATGAGTTTTAAAATAAAAACCACATAAAAAATCTGAGCAGACTTTTTTTTTTTTTTTTTCCTGAAGGAAACTTTTCCTGGCAATATTTAGAAATTAAAATTACAGTAATTGTCATAGTTTAATGGCCCCCCTCTTCGTTTCCTGCTGCTCATGGGGAGAGGGAAGGATAATTACTACTGTGGAACATGGCAGTTGCCATAAAGATGCCTTTGTTTCCTATTCCATAAGCCTACTTGACCCATCTCTCAGAGGTCACTAAATTATGTTTCTTAGGAGCACAAAGATGGGTAATAAACCTCTATTTGCATATACAAGCTTTTTTTCTCCTGACTGCATCAATTTATTCTTGCTTTAAGTGGACTTCCTTCTCTCAGGAAGCATCATTTCTCTCTTCCTTCCTGTGTTTATGAAGTTGTTCTTTTTTGTGTGATTAGAGTAAAATTCTCATTTTGGGGGCAGCAAGATCCAATCCTTGTGCCTTTATGGGAGAATAATTTTTTGGCAATAATATCTGCATAAACTGCACATATGTATGTGTGTGTGAAATGACTGTAGTTATTTGGGCTTCTATTTTTACCGGGTCCTTAAGATGGTAGAAGCTGTATAAGCACAACTACTACATTGTGCCACCCTGAGGATCTCACAGGCTCAGCAAACACCACCAGGCTATTTTGAGTAATTAACTATGAGTTTGTGATGCAGTAGGTTCTCCTCATGCTGGAAGTCCAAAGATATTTGAAACTGTCTTCAAAATTTGCAGGAGGTTGTGCTCTGTATTTTCCTGAAATGCAAAATTTAATTTCTCACAATCAAAATACAGCTTTTGCCCCGACAAATGAACCTTTTTATTTACACATTTATCTTATTGACTCCAACATCTTATCTTAGAGCTCATCCCAGTTCTAAATGCTCCAGACTGGCTGCTCTATCTCAGGAAATCAAGCCTTGGCTTTGGTGATAATTTATCTTGCATGTGTGGTAGTAATTGCTGTGTCTTCTCAAGGTCGTTTAGGATGCAGCTCCTCCTGTAAAAAGTGTTATTTCAATAATGTCAACTTTGTTTTAAATGACTGTGCATCCATTAAAAGCCATATTGTAATCAGCCCACTCCACTGTTCCCAGGGCTGTCAATACCGAGCATTTAAATCACACAGTTATTTTTTTCTTGACTTTACTGAAGTGTGGGCTTTTGTTTGGTTTTTGATTTTTAATTTTTATTTTTTTTTAAGGCAGTCATTTAAAGCAATTTTCTTAAGAAATTTTAAATATTTTCTTTTTCTGCCTGTTTGGTGGTAGAGAAACAGATTCTAATAAAGGGATTTCTTAAGTGGATGGAAATAGACTCACGCCTAATTTTTTTATTTGTTCCTTATATTCTCAAGGGAGGTGGAATCTATTCTGAATGTCCCAAAGTACTGTTCTTGCACTGCTTTCAAATGTGTCTGAGAAGGGAAGGTCTTTTCTCCTCAGCATGCCCACGATCTTGAAAAAAAATTCCAGTGGGCTTTGTAGGCACAGAACTTCACTAACTACCCATTAAACTCCCTTTTCGTCAGGGATGCAGCATTTTGCAACTGTAAAAGATAAAATAAAGAATTCCTCCATCCTTGAGGGTGATAAAACCTGCACTGCAGACCTTGGGAAAACGCCAGTATTCCTGGTGCTGCTGGTGCACAGGTTTGATGGGACATCAGGAGTGCTCAGGGCTTCAGTGTTGCATGTAAGAAACACCTCAAATCCTCCTATATCTTTAAAGGACATAATTAGCAAAGGCTAGAGGTGTGAGCTTCCAAAAACATTCCAGTCTCCTCATTCTGCAAAATAAGAAAAGACCAAATCTATATAAAGGTTTGGGGGGAATTCCTAAATTGCCCAAACGACTTGAGCTTTGTGGATTTTCCTCAGCAATCCCCAGTCACGGGATCAGCCCACTTTTCTTACCTGTGTCTGCTGATGAAACCAGAAACTGCAGCTGCCTCTACCAGCACTCAAGCAAAGGACTCACTGTTCATTCCCTGGGTTTTGGGTTAGTTAAGTTGTTGGTTTTTTGGTTTTGTTTTTTTTTTTTTTTTAGTTTGGTTGTTTCCCTGTGTTTTTTTTTTTTTAATTGGTTTTTCCTTTCGTTTGAGTGAGAAAGGACAGAGGTTTTTGTGTGGGCAGAGGATGAAGGCAAGGGAAGGGTTTCTTTTGTCTGGAGCCTCCTCCACAGCAGCTCTGAAGCCTCTCTGCTCTACCACAGCTCTGAGTCACTGCCGGAGCCCTCGCACAGTCCAAAGGGTTGTTTTGTCTGGAATGAGACAGTCCGACCACCCAGCCCTGCCACCACTTGCTTTTGTACTCCCACATCCTGGGAGATGCTTCCTCTCCCCCTGAGGGGGTGTGTGTGTGTGGGAAATGGTGGCACTGGGGTCGTGTGGAGGCATTTGAGGCCAGGGGATCAAACAGTGCCCTGAACACTCTGTGCTAACAGGAGTGAGCACCGTCACAGAGAGCACATCCTGACTGTGCCCAGGGGCTGGGACAGACAGCTCAGCTGGTGCCCACATTGTTTTTCTTCCAGAGCTGGAGGCAGCAAATACTTTTCCCCACTGCTTGCAGTGTCTGCCTAGGTATTTGCTGTGCTCCTGTCTCGTGGAATCATAGGATGGTTTGCTTTGGAAGGGGCCTCAAAAGTCATCCAGTTCCAACCCCCTGCCATGGGCAGGGACACCTTCCACTAGACCAGGTTGCTTAGAGCCCCATCCAGCCTGGTCTTGGACGCTTCCAGGGATGGGGCATCCACAGCTTCTCTGTTTCACCACCCTCACAGGGAGAATTCTTTCCAAATATCTCACCTAAATCTACCCTCCTTCAGCTTAAAGCCATTCCCCCTTGTCCTATCCCTCCATGCCCTTGCAAAAATCAGCCTTCCTGTAGGCCCCCTTTAGGTACTACCAGTTGCTAAATTTAAAGGATATTGAAAATACACATGCCTTCATGCCAAATCAGGGTCATTCTTGGAGGGGATCTCTGCACCTGTAAGGATGGGAAATGGATTTTTCGCCTGTTGCATGAGACCCAGACTTTGTCTCAGTGAGTTCAGAATCCTCTTATCTCCTGAGTGCTGCTTTTTACACAGTGAGTGTGGGCAGTTCATGCTTCCAGTCAGCACTGCTGGCACAGATTTGTATGGCTATAAATGTATCTCTGTAGATATCTACAGCTCCATCAATATAAATAAATAAAAATAAACCCCAAAATTAAATATAAATACAGTGACAGTTGTGGCCAGTTGGATGGACACTCACCTTGCTGGGAGAGCTTTGTCCTTGGATGCAGCTTTTCTGGGCAGTGAGAGTCACCTCTGGCAGCACTGTCAGAGCTGTGCTGACAGCAGTGTAAGAGGAGAGGAAACACAGGCCAAGATCCCAGAGCTGATGAAATGTAGGCTGGGTCTGCAGGACGTGTGTGGCTGTGATGGCAGTACTGTAATTACAAAAAGTGAATAAAAAGCTTGAATTTTGTTCACTCTCTGGGCTTGTCTCCTCTGTATATTCCTTTTTTTTTCCAGAAGCATAATGATGTAGTGAGTGTTTCTACCCACTGCAAGTGGAAGTGGTTTGTGCTGATTGTGAGGGAGATGTTTATAGGATCCCTCCCACGTCCCCTCCTTCAACCCCACCTTCCAGGAGCTGCATTGCAAGAGTCCAAGTTGACTTTTACCCTGGCAAAGATCATGCAGCAACTGGAGTAACAAATGTGAAACCTTCCTGAGTGTGTCACCTTGCTCCAAAGTGAATGCAGTGTTATTTAATACATTTAAACCCCTCCTGTGGAGATGGATTATTGAAAGGAAGGAAATTCTATTCTTCTAAACCCACTTTGATGGCTGCATTTATCACATGATTAAATGGGGACAGCAGTGGTATTTTCCCATGAAAAAAATGTGTTTGGAAATATGTTAACCCTTCCTTCATCAGAGTGGAGACAAAAAGTAATATTTACTGAACTTTCTAAGGCCCATCTTATTTGTTTTCAGGGTTTAAATAACCAAGGTTATATTCACCATAAAATTTAAAGGCATTTAACCCCTTTCACTCCTGTGTGGAAGGGAGTGCTCTTACCTCCCCTACTCTGTATATCACCTGTGAAATCATCGAATCATAGAATCATGGAATGGTTTGAGTTGGAAGGGACCTTAAAAGTCATCTTGTTTCACCCCCCTGCCATGGGGTGGAACTATCCCACGTTGCTCCAAGCCCCGTCCAACCTGGCCTTGGACACTTCCAGGGATGGGTCAGCCACAGCTTCTCTGGGCAACCTGTGCCAGTCCCTCACCACCCTCACAGTAATGTTTTTTCCCCTAATTTAAGCCTACTCTCTTTCAGTCTGAAGCCATTCCTCCTTGTTCTGTCATTCCATGCTCTTTTAAAAAATTGTCTCTCTCTATCTTTCTTGTCGCCTCCCCTCAGGTACTGAAAGGCTTCAATCAGATCACCCCAAAGCTCTCTCTTTTCCAGGCTGAACAATCCCAATTCTCTCAGCCTTTCCTCATAGGAGAGGTGCTTCACCCCTCTAACCAACCTGGTGGCCTCCTCTGGAGGAGCATCAGTGCCATGTGATGCTCCAGGTATTGCACAGACCAGCCCCCAAATTGACCTGGCACAGTAAGGCAGACTTGCCATCTCAGACTCTTTCAATTGGTCACAATTATTCCTGATTTAATGAAAACACAAGGAAACAGAGCATCACACTTTGAATTTTGATTGTTTATTCTGTTACTTAGTTCTGGAGCCCAGCTGAAAACCGTAATTCGAGTTTGTGTTATTTTTGCCAAATTAAACTTCCACTGATGTTTTGGTTTGTTATAGAGTTTTACCTTCACTTTTAATGGTAACCCAGGATTCTGAAATACCTTTGGAGTCAAATCATAAAGCTGGACATATATCAGAGGGGTAATTTATATATATTTTCTTTATGAAGTACAGCAGGATCTGTAAGATAAGGCATGTGCTGCAGATAACGTTTCAAGTAGTTATTTTTGAGCTGATAGCAAGAGTCTGGGTGATAAATAAAATAAATGTGTTCACCTAAACACAAGCAGAGCTCTTCCATTGTAACTCTCACAAACTTGTCAATTTGAGAAGGTGCCTGTGTAGCAAGTAATTCCCTTAATTTTAAGAGACTTTTTCATCTGATTGTCCCCGGTCTGAAATGAGATGGTGGTTCACAGCATACACCATGGACAAACCCTGGTGAAAACTCCCAGGATATGCTTTCTTAGATGAGAATGGAATGGAGTTGGACTTGCTGATCCTTATGGATCCTCTCTAACTTGAGTTATTCTATGATTTCTATGAATGGAAACACTGAGCCACGAGTGTTGCTCATCACTGTTACTGTCAGGAGCAAATCCAAATTGTGGGGCTGGTACCTGCCTAGCATCCCTCTTGTCCCTGTTCATCCCTGTAAATGCTAATGAGTCCTGGGGGAAAGGATGCAGCCAAGCCTTCACAGATATTCTCCTCTTGTGGATGTTCACATGGGCAATTTGTCATTTCAGCAGTGAGATGACAGGATGCATCTCACTGTTTCCCCTCCAGCAAAGCACAGCAAAGCTTTGCACTGTTCCCTTCATTAATCCTCTTTAATTAGAGCTGTGTTACCATGTGATGCCCTGGGATCAGCGTTAGGCAGTTGGTCACTCCACTGAGCCTTGAATCAAATGAGTTTGGTGCAAGAGGACTTTGTCCCTGCTCCCTAAATCAGTTAAGGCCTCAATCTCATCTTTTGGTGCTCCACTTTGGTACTTTTCTTCTCCAGATGCTGGAAGGGAGCTGCGAATGGTAGAGCAAGGAAGTTTTTACCTCATGGGAAATGAAAGTTGATCTTCTGCCCCTGTTTATGCAACTTCCCAAAGCCAAACTCACACCACAGACAGGAGGTTCCCAAGGTCCTCCTTGGCACAGAGATCATGCCGTGGAAAAACCTATAAAGGACATATGGAGAAGCTGAATGAAAATGGGACAAAAATGTTTATTTCCATGAACCCAGTTTTCCATGGGGGAGAGCTGAAAATCCTGCTTCCAATCTGTGCAAACCCTGGATTTGTTGTGAGCTGTGGTTTGCACACCTCACCTGGATGAAATTAAAAGATTCAGTATTTTATTTTCTGCCTTCGCTCAGCCTGTGAAGCTCCTGAGTGGTGATAAAACTATTGAGATGCTTCCCAGAACCCTAACTCAATGTTACACTTGACACAACCGAGCCTCTTGAGCTGCAGTGTTTTTTACTTTAAGAAGGATTTTCCCCTTTCCTTTCCACTTCCTTTTCCCCTTTCCTTTCCCCTTCCCATTTCTGTATGGGGCTATATTTGCATGAAGAGCTCAGCAGTGACATGCTGAGAATCACAGATGATTGCTCTAAAAAAAAACCACCCAGTAAACAAAAATAAAAAAGATCAAAGCATCTGCTTGCAATCAGAACTGATTTCTGGTGAGTGAGGAAGGTGTTTTCTCCCTTTCTGTGCCCAGCAGTTTGTAATTGGTGAGATGATTTAGGGAAAGAGAATGGGAATGTGGCTTTTATGTGCGGCAGGACATAGTGACCTCTTCTGGAAGCTGAGCCCTGGGAAGTTTGATAGCCCTATGGTGGGAGCTACTTCGTTGACCCCTGTATTTAAACATGATTAAAAGCACTGCTGAAGAGCCAGGCACAGAAAAAAACCACCTTTTACAGCAGTGGCTGGGGGGTGGGGTGAGGGAAGCTGTGGATGCTGCACATTTTGGAGTGCCATCTGCTGGCATAGGATACAGGAGCCTTGTTTTATAGGGCTCAGATGAAAACAGTGTCAGAGAAGCCTTGATGAATCATGGAGATGAGGAGAAACTCTGTGGAGAGCCGGGGTGAAACAGGGTGTTTCATTCTGTGGAAGACTGAGTCCCTTAGTCTGTTGTGGAAACCTGCTCCATGTCCCCTCTCTGTACTGAGTAGAACATAGATATTAAATAGCGTTTAAATAAGTGTATTATTAATGATTT